TGTTTTCAAAACCAAAACAAGGCTTCTTTGGGCTACTGTATAACCTCGAACTCAACACTATTCCTGACATTTTGAATTGAAAGCACTTCCTGGATGGGAAGCGAAACATCTTCAAACTTGGAAACCAAGTTCAGTGGATTGTTGTTTTTTTTTTTTTTTGGAAGTGAAAAAGAGGTTTTACGTATTTAAAGACAATCACTTCAAGTTCTGAACATTTCATAGATTGATTTACCTCTCAGGCTAGCATTTGCTTGAGGACATTCGTAGTTCAAATCAACATATATCCCAGATCACTTGAAAACATGTTTGCGCCTGCAGTATGCTTACCAGCACCGAATTGACCCAAACCGAAATATAATTCCATCATTTTCCATACCTTTATTGATATTTGTCTAAGGTTTTCCTTTTTTAAGGTTATTTTATGCCAAATAAATTCAGAATACAGTTAGGGGAGTTGGTATCCTTTACATTTTATATGATAAGTTCTGTAGGAATTTCTACAAAATGATCCGATGTAGGTCATGCAATTTAACAAACATATTTTAAGTGTTGGACTGCCATAATGGGAGCCATTAATAACTTTGACAATTGTCTTCTATAAAAGTTACAGTGGCTTGCAAAAAATATTCATCCCCTATGAACCTTTCAAATGTTGTCCCAGTAGAACCACAAAATTAAAAACATTTTATTGGAAGGTAATATGAAAAACCAACAGAGAGTTATATAAAACTGAAGTCTAAGAAAATTATAAATTTCTTTGTGCTTAAAAAAACAAAACAAAGGAACAGGGCATTGTACATGTATTTAGCCCTACTTAGTAAAAACTTAATGGAACCTTTGCTGCCATTGCAGCTGCAAGTCTTTTATAAGTATGCCTCAACCAGTTTTGCATATCTAGAGTCTAAAATGTTGGTCTTTCATTTTTGAAAAAATGCTCGAGCTAAGTTAGGTTGGATGGAGAGCATTTTGCCACTGATTCTCAGCTGAGTTTAGGGTCTTTCGTTTTGCCCCTCTTCCATAAAGACCACATTTATGCTGTGAACAACTTTTAAAAGCAGTCAAGTTGGAGTTAGTACCTCAAAAGAATTGGTGTAAGTCTACTGAGTCTAAGAGTTGATTTTGAAATTCAATTGAATTTGGTGTATTTAAATATCTGCGAATCACAATGTCATCAAAAGGCACCTTACAGACACATTTCAAATTGATCATCTGGACAGATAGGTTTAAAGTTTTCTATTTAAGAAAAAAAGCAGCTGACTGCATCAAGTCATTGACTTCGCAGGAAATGCTCCTCCTGGATGAGCATATGGATATTTGCTAGCATTGTGTTGTTGACTCTACAGCAGTCCCTGAAATGAATTTCCATTTCAGGATGATGGACTCAACAGTTCACTGAGATGTTCAAAGTTTGGGAAGTAGCCCAAGCCTGCCCTAAACCTCCACAACCTGATCCCTGACCTGCCTGTTTTTTCCACTCCAATATTCTCAAATCTATAAAATCTTCGCAAACTTTGACACAATCACAGAGCAGCTACACATCTACTAACTTTAGATTATACAAAGGTGGACTGTTGTTTGTGTTGGTCTTGCGTGTAGAATTCAAATAAAATACATTTTTCTGTTTTATAAGTACCAAAACTGGTGTGAATACTTTTGCAAGCCACTGTATAAACTGGTTTAATTCAGGTTTTATGTGTTTGCTCCTATACCTCCATAGAGTTAGAGATAAATGGGATTTTTTTGGGAGGAGTACCGCATGTATAGAGCTTTATCTAGAATTATGTCACTGTTTATGTATAACTAAATTAGTGTGGGACACTAATTAGCCTAAAGCTCATTTATAAAACAGTGTTTTTAGGAACTTCCTTGTTGTTGCCAAGCAACTATTTTTCCCCCAAACTTTAGAACTTCCGGTCCCCAAGGCTGCCGAGACCCCTGAGTCATAAATGTCCTCTTTCAGACAAGTCTTTTCAGAGGGTTGAGTCCTTTTTGACTGCAGTAAGCGTTGGAAACAGGATGTTGTGTTGAGCTTGAATAAAAGTCCTTGTGATATTTGTATAATTCAACCATCTAAACAATTCTTGAAGCTTACAATGTTTTGTTTTTTTTGTTTAAAAGAAAAAAAAAGGATGATGTTCACAGATAAATCAAGGATTAAAAAAAAAGGTGCTTATTAAATTTGCCTTTTATTTGACTGATAATTACAAAAACGTAGGCACCGTCCACCTGCATTTACAGACTGGATGTTAATTATCTGTGTACAGCCCTCTTTTCTAATGTAGTTCAAAACAGATTAATGCAAAACATCATTCTTTAAGTGTTAAAGAGAATGAAAAGCAGATAGCAAGTTTCTCACAGCTCACCACCATGTGATTGAAGTTGAAAATAAATCCAAAAAATATTTAAAACAAATGGTGATTTATGTGAAGTTGAATTTCTTCCCTAAATTAGCCTGAAACACACATACTGAGCCAATCAGATTCAAAGGCATTGACGTTCTCTCTTTGGAAGCATTTGAGCTTTTCTGATTTACTTCCTAAAATATTGTGGGGAAAAAAAACCCAAAACAAAACAAGAACAGTTTTTTTTACAACATATTCAGCACTTCAGAATGTTTGGCAGTTATGTTTTCTTTGCTTTCTGGTGTCTAAAGATAAAACAAAACAAAGAGGAGCTTCCTTTAGAATGAATCTTTGGACAGAGCGATGATGGTGAAACGGACCTCCTGAGGATCACGAGCCATGAAAATCTTACAAACTTCTACAGCGTCCTGGAACAGAAAGGACAATAAATAAAAGTCTCACTCTTATATAATGAACGTTCTCATGTAGAAGATGTTTTTAAAGATATTTGACAGTGTTTTACCTCAAGGAAGGTATCTTCGGTAGTTTTTCCATGGACAACAGGGAAAGGCTTCCGACCATCTGGGTATTAAAACAGTATAAATCTTTAAATTACCATCATGGCCATTGATCTATGCAAGTTTTGGTAGTTATTTTCTTATTTCTTCAGTTCTGCAAAGTTTTTAATTAAATTCCATGTTTTTTTTTTCTCTTTCCTCATTTGTAGTCCATAAAACCAGGAGGTCAGGGATTATTGCATAAAAGTTCCAAGAAAAACTCTAATCAACTAAAGGTAAAGTTTTATTTAATACATTTTTAGGAGCAGTGATTTAAGAGAATTACCCGGTACTGTGGAATATTTTCCGTTATGAGGATTTGAGTAAAACAAGCAGCTGGCAGAGGAGTTAACTTACCTAGTTCAAATAGTTGTCCTCCAACATTCACAAAAGCTATAAAATGCAGATTCACTTTCTCATCTAAACTTGGTGCCTGTGAGGAACAAGAAAGCTTCAGTTAAATTCAATGCAAATGAATTTGATGAAACAAGAAATGCTGAAGTATCAACAGACCTCAGTTTGTCCCTCCTGAGCGCTGGATTCATGTGTGACACGTATACTCTGCGAGACACAGGAAAACAAACAGTGTCTCAGTCATTTGAAGTGTCCTTTATTGTTTTAATGTTCATGCTCTCTTCATCTTGGTCCTACCTCGTCTTTTTCCAGAAATGTGGCTCTTTCCTCAGGGGTCATTTTTGCAGTTTGTTCAAGAAATTTCTTAAGGGGTGAATCGGGTTCTGGAAAGGAAATATTAAACTGTAAACTCTACAGAACTGCTCAATGTCAGAATGAGGTTAAATTGAAATTGTACTAAGCAGAACAACAGTCAGTATTTTTAATATGACACATGACTTTCCAGACTCAGCCTTGCAGAGTTCTGGGTCTTTTTAGTGATTTCTATAAAACACTAAGTTGGCCATGAAAACAAGCATATTGGCTCCTGTTTCTACAGCCGACAGAATCTTAGTTATTGTGTTTGTTGGCTTTTTAATACATACATTTTTGCCCTTATTCACAAACATTCCCAGATTTCTCTCAAAGAGCTTCTACCCTGGATGTTTAAGGATCAGAGCGAGTGATTCTAAGCAAGGAGGCAACAGACATTTTATATTCTAGTGAGGATGAGTGATTGACCCTGTTGAATGCTTGACAGTCTTCCAATAGCTGTTTTTGGTTGATACAGGAAAAATAGTTCAATAGTTTGGATATTTTGACTTGAAATTTCAATAACCTCATTATTGTTTGCTTCAGTAAAATACTGTATATTCCTTCTCAATATTCAAGCCTCGCATCAACAAAACCCACATTACTAATTATGTAATTCATCAGGTAATATTAAATGGGTCAGTTGTCTTCATATTTATTGTGGTTTACTTTTGTTCCATGTTTTATTTATATTACTTGAGCCTTTCCTAACATTCTACAAAATAAAATAATAAAAGAAGGTATAATTCCTGCTAACATAGTATCGGGTCAATATCGGTATCAGGCAATTCTCAAAGCTGCAATAACTATATTGTATCGGGACACCCCTAAAAATTAACAACATGTTTCGATATATTTTAGACGTCATCTGCGCTGAAGTTTTAATCCTGTTTAGTTGTCAGTTTAGGCCATTTCTACCATTTCTTAAAAAGCTAGTAGAAAGCTCCTGTCCGTCACTCTGTCCCTCCTCCTGTCCACCACTCCGCAAAAGAGAGCTTTTGGAACTTTTTTTTTCCAGGTAAAAACATATATATATATATATAACGTTTTAAAAAAGGAAAAATCATGAACAATAATTAAAATCTGTTGTCTTTGTAGATTTTCTCCATGATTGATAAAGCAGTTATTTAGTGTGGAAGTATATACACCATTATTGGTGAAGAATTAGTTGAATATTATTTTGCTATGGTATAACTACTCACATTTAGTTTGCAGTTCTAGTCAGTTTGTACACTTGTAAAGAACATCTACTTATGACATGTGGTTCTGTTGGCCAGACGATTGCCAAACTGCTTCCTCCGTTTGCCTCAAACGTCTCCGCTGACACTTTGAGGCCAACTAGTCCTCATTCCTAATGTGCTTTGTGAATAGCTTTTATCTTACCGAGGTAAAATTTTAAGAAGAATCTTAGAGTTTGGGAAATTTGAATATATTTTTTTAAAATTTACATCACCAAAACATACTTTTAGGTTTAGGGATACCTTGTGAATATGGGCCCCTGATGTAATTGTTAAATTCAAGCCCACTGAAGCAATACTTTTCTAAAACACCTTTCATTGCAATTACAGCGACCACTCCTTTGAGGCTGGTATCTTTATATCTGTTTAACTCTCCAGCAACTCTGTTCAGCTTCCCTTCCAGGCCATTATGCTATTATCACTGCTGTGTGACTGATATATCAGACAGGGTTTATACAGGAATGAGTAACTCTAATAAATGCTCTTTTAATGCTCTTAGAAATAATTAATGCCATCAACAAGTAACCATATATATATATATA